ATCTATCTATCTATCTATCTATCTATCTATCTATCTATCTATCTATCATCTATCTATCTATCTATCTATCTATCTATCTATCTATCTATCTATCTATCTATCGTCTATCTATCGAATGTTTGTCTGTCTGTCTGTTTTTCTGTAGATAGATACTTTGTAGATAGATAGAAAGATAAATAGACGTACATAAACTGGCCATCCCAATCATTTGAGAAAACTGCTTTCTAGTTTTTAATTTTCCTCAAAGTATAGTTTCCTCAAATGATGGAGTGGCTGTAGATTTTTCCATGGTAGTGAAGACCATCATTGACCACCCACTAGCTCTGCCATTGTTTTTTGGTCGTCGTGGATAAAATTTCTCCTTTCAATCCCCTGTTCAATTCCAGTCCAGAAAAACACTGATCTCGAAAGCTACAAATATTCATTACTCAAATCTCTCAGCGATGGGAGACATCTGCATACCACTTGTTTATCCTGGTTGGGAAGTGGTTGATCTAAAATAATTTTCAATCTTTATTCTTAAAATGAACTATTTCAGACTGAAATGACCCATTTGGACCTGACATAAGACACGTCTGAGACTCTGCCTAAAGGACATTTCATTTCAAAACGGTTCTGCCAATAAAATAAAGTAAAATTACAATACTCTTGTTGTTTACCATGCATCAGAATATCTTGTTGTTTACCTTTGGTGCCAGGACGTAGAAGTAGCCAGTGCCATTAGCTCTACAAACGAGCTTACACCTGTCTTTGGGGGAGACTCCAGAGTACTTTGGTACCCACACCACTGAGTGGGTTAAACGGTTACTATTAAAGCTGTGGCCAGACGTAAGACACTGCTCCTCACGATATGTCCTACCTACACAAAGTGGAGGAAAGGTACAGCAGGTAAGAGCAGAGCATTCATTGGACATAATTTTCTGTTCGTTTCAAGTTTCAAGTTTCGTCTTTGAACAGCTCCTACCTGTCTCGGGGCAGTGATTCAGGTTGCAGGAGCGATATTTGACCCGAACTCCTTGGCAGTATTTACCCCCGTTGGATGGAATTGGGTTGGTGCACTCCCTTTTAGAAAGTTGGACGCCACCTCCACATGTCCGCGAACAGGAACCAAACGGACCCCACTTACCCCAGCGTCCATCCACCTGGGAGAAAAAAAAAGCAAAACAGAACAGTGTCCATCAAAGACCATCTCAAGTGAGCTGATAGTTAGAACTAAAGTTCTCCTACCTTCACATGTTGGACATGTTTGGCAGAGCAGACTCCTCGGTCACAGACCTTTCCATCACCACAATGGGTGCCATCTGCCCAGGGGAAGTGCCGAGTCATGCACACCAGGTGGCCGCTGGACTTTCCTGTGCACCACAGACGACTGCACGGTGGCTGCATAAAAGGACAAGGTTTGGAGTTTTCTCCGAATGCGAGCTCACACTGACGGTTGAGACTGTAGGACGATCCGGGCAGATTGTCAGGAAGAACTAAAGGTTTCTGAGGCTGGTCAAGCAAACACTCCCCTGAAAGAGAAAGTCCAAGTAAATAACTATTTCATATAATCTAAAAAAGTTAAATCTGGTCCTCTGGACATTCAAAAAACAAAACAAAGCAAAACAACAACAAAAAATTTAGAAACATTTCGTCTTTCATCCGAAAGACTTCCTCAGTCTTCCAAAGTGGTTCAAAATATCCTGATGCATGCTCAATAATCCAGGTAGAAAAATCTAAAAAAGTTAAATCTGGTCCTCTGGACATTCAAAAAACAAAGCAAAACAACAACAAAAATGTAAAAATGTTTTGCTTTGTTTTGTTTTTTGAATGTCCAGAGGACCAGATTTAACTTTTTTAGATTTTTCTACCTGGATTACTGAGCATGCATCAGGATATTTCATATAATGTTAACATGTTCGCTAACTTTTGTCAGAATAGAAGATAATTTTTTGTTGTTATGTGAGAAAGAGATAAAAGTGTTGAGGTTCTTCTTGGGAGCAACAAGGACGGATAAGATTAGGAATAAGATCATCGGAGGTATGGCACAGGTTGAACAACTTAGAGAGGCCAGACTGAGATGGTTTGGACATGTCCAGAGGAGGGACAGTGGGTATATTGGTAGAAGGATATTGGAAATGCAGCTGCCAGGAAAAAAAAACAAACAGGAGATATATGAATGCAGTTAGAGAGGACATGGAGGTAGATGGAGTGAGGACAGAGGATGAAGAGGACAGAGATGGAGGAGGATGACTCGCTGTGGCAACACTGAAGACACTGAAGAAGGACGAGGATGAAGAAGAAAAAAGAGAAGAAGAAGAAAAAATAAAATGAAGAATCAGACAAAAAGGAAGACGAAAAAGAATATGACAAAGACAACTCCCATCTATTTACTTTTAAGAGCAGCTGGACATTTCACAACACATCTGAATAGATGAGACAAAATTTACTTATTGTGACCAAAAAAAATAAATCTGCACTTTTACTTTTACTTAGAAGACAGGAGACAGTAAATACTGACATCAGAATTTAATCTCCACTGTAAAGCATGGTGGAGGGAGCTTCATGTTTGGGACTGATTGACTCATTTAGGACAGAAGCATGTCAGAAAAGTTAGGAGAACTGTGAATTTAATACTTCATGTGTAACTTTTTAAAAGAGAAAATTATGTCATCAATTATCTGGGACCTAAAGAGTTAGGCGATGCCACCTGATGACAATAATGTGAAGCACAAAGTATGGCACACATGTACGTCACCTGGGGATGTATTTTTGGGCTTAAAAATGGTAAACGGACTGTACCTTTTCTATCTTACTGAGATATTCAAAGCTCTTTACACTACAATCTGTGTCCTCATTTATCCATTCATACATCACTCTACTAGATCTATACAAAGAATAATCAGAGCTTTATTACATTCATACACCAATGGGACACACATTGGAGGCAATGAGGGGTTCATTGTGACTGCTGGTGGGATCGAACCCCCAACTCTTGCATTGGAGGACGACTGCTCTAACCACTACAGCCACAGCCGCCTCATACTTAAAAAGTACTTTGTATTTAAATTGTTTTTTTAAATGATTAAGTAGAATTCCATACCTAAGGATGGCCATTCAATGAAGACACCCCAGGAATATAGCTAAACTGAAGCTGATTTTATTACAAATGATCTGTATTTTCTCCTGGTTTAGTCTTTTAATCTGCCACCAAAAACATCTGATTGAGGTTCTTGTTGCATCAGAATGGTAAATTCATGTCTGTGACAAATGAAAAGTTAAAAATCTCAAACTTTTAAAGCAGCTCTACAGCCAGCACACTATTTGAAGAGGTATTAATTATAAGAAAAAAGTGATGTCCATTTGTAAATAAATAAAAAACTACATCATCCTTGTCATTAAGCATGTGTGGGATTGTGGGATTGTATGCTGCGTGCAGCCATTGTTCTTGTTTTCTGGTTCCTTTGAAGAGTTAACAGGATTAAATTCTGTGCATGGAGTTTATCCCAAAGTTGTACACAAAAACATGCCAATCCCAGCCCATCCTCAAAACTCTCTTTATAAACCCACAGCCCACCCTTGTTCTACAATTTGCAACAAGGGTGGGCTTGTCAGACGTTGTTAGATCCTTGGATTAGAGCTGGAAATTACAGGCAACCAGTGGGGACTGAAAGGTCAAAGCATGGCACACAAAACCTCAAACTTGTGCACAATGCCAGTTTCTGGTGGGTTTATTTTGTTTGTGTGTCTCTTCTGTTGTTGTTTTTTTTTTTGTACCCATTTAAAGTTTGAGAATAGGTTGAGATAGTTTCGGCCCCAAGACCTCTAGTTATTCGCTGTACCGGAGAACTGTGAGGCTCCGAGCACCAGGAGTCCTGAGGGAAATTTCAGACGGAACCAGCTACTAGATGGTTTGGTTGGTTTTTCGCCCCCATACCCAGGTCGTACAACCGATTGGCATGTCAGGACTGCTGCAGACCTCCACCAGAGTTTCCTCTGGCATGGCCCTATCCAGGCATAACTCGCCATCTTTTGGGTCCTATCGTGCACGCTCTGGTTCCACCTCCCCAACAGAGCAGGCGAGACAGGCCGGTGGTGGGCCCTGGGCCGTGGGTGACCCAGGATTCCACCTGTGGGGTTTGTTTGTTTGTTTGTTTGTTTTTATGCTTTTACAGACCTAGGTATGCTAGTGAGCTGCTGAAGCAAGGTACATCTGTTAATGAGGTCTTTCTTTGGGGGAAGACAACGGGATTAAACCGTTCTAAGCATGTGGAACAGCTTGTTCATACTAAATGTTTACTTGTGCAACATGCAAGTATGTTTTTTTGTTTTTACATCTAAAATAAAATTATTTTGTCCAACGAGACGATAGGCAGGACTAGACGAGAGGCGGGACGAGACGAGAGGTGGGACGAGACAAGAGGCGGGACGAGATGAGAGGTGAGACAAGACGAGACAAGATGAGAGGTGGGCCAAGACTAGACGAGAGGCAGGATGAGATGAGAGGCGGGATGAGAGGCAGGATGAGATGAGAGGCAGGATGAAACAAGAGGCGGGACAAGACGAGAGACGAGATGACAGGCAGGATGAGATGAGAGGCGGGATGAGATGAGAGGCGGGATGAGATTAGAGGCAGGATGAGATGAGAGGCGGGATGAGATGAGAGGCAGGATGATATGAGAGGCGGGATGAGATGAGAGGCGGGATGAGACGAGAGGCAGGATGAGATGAGAGGCGGGATGAAACAAGAGGCGGGACAAGACGAGAGACGAGATGACAGGCAG